CCAACCTGTGCATAGATCCCTATGGAACTAAGAAGCCTTAGGCAGAGTCTCAGCAGGGACTTCATATCTTGCTGTCACTTACACACATTCCTTCTGTAAAATCAGCCTCAAAAGAACTCTACGGGCTCTCAGCTTACCGAGATCAAATATAAATCAACCTCTTATTAATTAACAAGGCTGGCAAGCTAGGAAAGAGAAAAAGTGTTCTGGGTCCACAATTCCAGAAATATTACTGTTTTAGCAGGTTTTTAGCTTTGGACTAGAGATTCATTTGATCTAGGAAATCATCTCAGGATAGTCCCAGAACTGCTACAAATTAGCCTTCAGAGCACATATTATTCTACTATTCTTAGTTTACTGTTAGGATTGGGGGTTTAATCATAAAATTCTGTTGCTATATTTCAATGATGACGTAGTTTAATTATATTAAAATTTCTCCCTTTGGTCATAGCATAGCTGTATTTCTGGGAGCAGGGGGAGGAAGGATGGGTCATGATGGTTTTAGTTTGTTTTTGTCCCTCATGAGCTTGAACTCTGTACCTGGGTGCTGTCCCTGAGCTCTTTGGCTCAAAGATAGTGCTCTATAACTTTTAGCCACAGCTCTACTTCTGGTTTTCTTTCGGCTAATTGGAGATAACAGTTTCACAGACTTTCCTGCCTGGGCTGGCATTGAACCACAATCCTCAGGTCTCAGTAGCTAGGATTACAGGTGTGAGCTACCAGCACCTGGCTTGTTATTATTTTGGGATGGCATTTCATTAAACTTTTTTGCCTTTCTGTTTGGGAGTGCAGTTGGCCTAATTTCCTTCCTCAACAGGCTTCTTCTGGTTTGTGCATGTTCACACTAGCTTCATTGAATAAACAGGTGAATGTTCTTTTTGTCTCTGTTCTTGGGAACTTCGTATCAGCAATGTGATCGTTAATTTTATGTGTCACCCTGACTGGATTGAAGAATTCTCAGATAGGGGATAGAACTTTAGTTCTGTGTATCTGTGAAGACATTTCCAGGAGCGGGTTATCATTTGAGTCAGAAACTGAGCAAAGCAGTTGGCCTTCCCAATGTAGCGAGGCCATACTTCTTTGGCAGGAAAAAAAGGCGGGGGGGGGGGGTTGTGGAGGGAAGGCTAGTTTGCTGTTTACTACCTCCGCTTGGGCTAAAATAACCATCTTCTTGTGTTCCCACTTCTTGTTCCTAGTCTCTAGGCCCTGGAATTCAGGGTGAAGTTGCATCATGACACCCAGTCCTCAGGCTTACACTGAATTACACAACCCCAGCATTCTTGGTTCTCCAATTTGGAAAGGTGGTAGAACTTCCTGGTTAGCACATCCTGTGAATTATTAAAATAGTAGCTTTCTTCCTAGTAGCTTGTATTTATCTGGTGAATCATGATCAATGTGAACTTCAACATAAATGAGAATGGGAGGGGGAAAATAAGAAAGTGATCTGCACTATATAAATCTGCTGCACTGCTTTTTTTGTTTGTTTGTGAAAATACCATACAGAGGGGTTAACATGGGCAAGGTAATGAGTATATTTCTTATCAAGCATTGTTGCCTCCTTCTGTTTCCCCTTCCCGTCCCCCCCTACCCTCCAGCCAAAGTTGTAAAGTTCGTTTTTCGACATAATGACTTGTACATCTCATTGTTGCAATGGGTCCACCTGAATCCCTATTTAAACGATTTGTTTTTTCCCTTCCCTCCACAAATTATACCAACATCAAATACAGTGAAAGAAGGGGTTATACCGTGGGGGAGGGACATACAAAGCAACAAAGAAATCATCTTATAATTATGTTAGAAACAATTGCATGAAAGCAAAAACATTTGAATACTTATCTTGGGGTTTATTTCACCTAACATCAACTTATTTGACCTTTTCTGCTTGTCTCAGACATATACTAGTTATTGCAAATAAGGGAAACCATGGGGCCTATGTTTCTTTGGGCCTGGCTTACTTAATATAATTTTTGCACTGCTTTTTTAACATTGTCTTCACAATAGTCCTCTTATTTTTTTAAGTCTATATTTTATTTAAAAAATATCTGAATCTGCAGAGTGCCTGCACAGAAGGGAAATCTAGAGCCTGCTTTCAATCCTATTGTAATTCACCATGTTCTTGTCACTAGGAATAGCATTGATAAGGACATTTCTGTCCAGCAGAATTTTGAACTTAAACAGAATAGGCCGACATCATATCCCTCTGTTGTTCCCCTGGCATACCCTTTCAAGAGCTGGTTTAACCAAAATCTGGTACCTTACTTCTAGTAAAAACCTTTTTTAAATCAGATACAGTGACTAGATGCAAAAGTGTTACCAGTTTTACAGCAATAAATCCTATAGGAATTTCTTTATTTTCTGCATAATCAGAAAGCAACAAAAAGGGAATGCCCAGTGCTGGTGGCTCATAACTGTAAATCCTTGCTTCCTGAGGAAGAGACTGTGATCTCAGGTGCAGAGTTCAAAGCCAGCCAGGACAGGACAGTTGTAAAGACTCTTCTCCAATTAACCATCAAAACACGCCAAGTGAAGGTGAGCCTCAAGAGGTCCAGTGCTAGCCTTGACGGGAACAAAAAGCTCAGATCGGCGCCCACGCCCTGAATGCAAGCCTGGGACTGGGCACACAGTGTGTGTGTACACACACAGTGTGCCTTTATTTATATATACTTATTTATATAGTTATATATATATACTTACATAGTTATAGTTATAGATACATATAGTTATAATTATATATAGTATATATAATTATATATAGTTATATATAGTTCATTAGTTATAATTATATATAGTTATATACATAGTTACATAGTTATAGTTAGTTATATATAGTTATAGATAGTTATAGTTACATATAGCTATAATTATGTATAGTATATATATAATTATATGTTGTTATAGTTACATAGTTATAATTATATATAGTTATAGTTACATATAGTTATAGTTAATTATATATAGTTATATATAGTTATAGTTACATAGTTATAATTATATATAGTATATATATAATTATATATAGTTACATATAGTTATAGTTATATATTGCTATATATAGTTACATAGTTATCGTTAGTTATATATATAGTTACATATAGTCATTATATATAGTTATAGATACATATAGTTATAATTATATATAGCATATATATAATTATATATAGTTACATATAGTTATAGTTATATATTGTTATAGTTATAGTTACATAGTTATCGTTAGTTATATATAGTTATAGTTACATATAGTTATAATTATATATAGTATATATGTAATTATATATAGTTATATATAGTTAGTTACATATGGTTATAATTATATATAGTTACATGTAGATCTGGTTACATATAGTTATAATTATATATAGTAGGGCTGGTAAGGTGGCTCAGTGGCAGAGCGTTTGCCTTGCATGCCTGAGGCCCTGGGTTTGATTCCTCAGCACCACATAAGCAAAAAGAAAAAAGGCGGAAGTGGTGCTGTGGCTCAAGTGGTAGAGTGCTAGCCTTGAGCTGAAGAGCTGAGGGACAGCGCCCAGGCCCAGAGTTCAGGCCCCGCGACTGGACCCCCCCAAAAAAATTACATATAGTATATATATAATTACATATAGTTATATAGTTACATATAGTTATATACAGTTATAGTTACATATAGTTAGTTATATATAGTTACATATAGTTATAATTATATATAGTTATATATAGTTCTGGTTACATATAGTTATAATTATATATAGTATATATATAATTATATAGTTATATATAGTTATAGTTACATACAGTTATAATTATATATAGTTATATATAGTTCTGGTTACATAGTTATAATTATATATAGTTATATATAGTTCTGGTTACATATAGTTACAATTATGTATAGTTATATATATAGTTACATATAGTTATAATTATATATAGTATATATACAATTATAGTTACATATAGTTATAATTATATATAGTTATATATAGTTGTAGTTACATATAGTTATAATTATATGTAGTATATATAATTATATATAGTTGTAGTTATATATAGTTATAATTATATATAGTTATATATAGTTCTGATTACATATACATAGTTATAGTTAGTTATATATAGTTACATACAGTTATAATTATATATAGTATATATATATAATTACATATAATTATATATAATTAGTTACATATAGTTATAATTATATATATTTATATATAATTCTGGTAACATATGGTTATAATTATATATAGCATATATATAATTATATATAGTTGTAGTTACCTATAGTTATAATTATATATAGTATATATATAGTTATATATAGTTACATATAGTTGTAATTATATATAATTATATATAGTATAGTTACATAGTTATAATTATATATAGCATATCATTATATAGTTATATATAGACAGTTACATATAGTAATAGTTCTGGTTACATATAGTTATAGTTATATACAGTTATAGTTACATAGTTATGTGGTTATACAGTTTTATATGCATATACACAGTTAAGCCCAATCGCCTTTGTTCGGGTTGTAGAGCGTCCGGTGCCCGGGCCCGAAGCTGACCGCGGCAGAGCTTTGCACTCAGCTCGGGGCTGCAGAAGCGGCTCGGGCTCGGCATCCGGGGCTGGGCACCGGGGCCCGCGCGCGGGCTCCCGATTCCCACGCGGCCCGGAGCCCGAGCAGCACACGCGGGAGGACGCCGGATGCGACGCGGCCCGGCGAGTCGCCCGCCCCCTTCACGCCCCCTCCCCTCCCGCGGGGCACGACCCCACGCCCCGCTCCCCCGCGCCGCCCCCCCACCACGCCGCCTGAGGCGCACACACGCGACCGCGCCTGCGCCCCGCGCATGCGCTCTGCTCCCCTGCGCGGACGCCGCGCCCCCGCGCATGCTCAGAGGCAGAGCCGGCCGGGCCCGCGAGGGTAGCGGAGGCCGCCAGCCCCGCCCCCGCTCCGCGCGGCGCTTCCCGGCGCCGGCCCGGCCCCGCTTCCCTTTCCGGACCGGCAGGCGGGGTCGCCGGCGCTTCCTTCTCACCTCCACCGGGCGGCGGCGGCAGCTGTCCATGGCGAGCGCGCCGGGCCGCAGGAGCCGGGCCGGCCTCAGGCTCTGCGCCACAGGTAAGCGCGGCGGCGAGGCGGCGCGCGCGCGTGGGGGCGCGGCCGGGCTCGGGTCGAGCCGGGGTCACGGCGGGAGCCGGGGGCGCGGTGGGGCCCCTCGGGGCGCCTCTGCCCGGCGCCGGAAGTTCTCCCGGCTCCCTGGGTGGGGGCAGGCCGACCCCCGACCTCTCCCCTTTCACCCCCCGAGTGGAGGGTGTGCGTGGAGTCGGGTGCGGAGGCCCACGCTTGCTCCTGGGGCCGAGGGCCGGGATGGTGCGGAGACCCGCGGTGGCCGGCCTGGGTCTGCGGGGGGGGGGGTGTCACCATCCGGGTCACCGCGCGGGTCAGGAGCGTGAGAGGTGCGCTCGGATCCGGGCCCCCCGAGGACCCTGTGCCGCAGGCTGGGAACGTCCCCCGCACCTCCCCGCCAGCGCCGGCTGCACACGCCTCGGCCTCACGCACCACGTCCCAGATCCGTGGTGAACGTTTGCTAGATGACCAAGAAAACAGAAATCAAAACGCCTTAACCGTGACGAAGCATGCATCAAAAGCCAGGTGATAAATCACCTCTGTGGGGTTTTTACATTTTCTCTTCTTTTTTTCCCCCCCTAGTGATATTATTTAATGTGGCTTTCTGTAAAGGCTTTGTAGAAGATTTGGATGAATCGTGAGTATATCCATTTAAATATCATTTTGACTTCGTTCCACTTAGACATCTAATGTTAAATAACTGGGAGAGCTCAGCGACAGATTGCTCAAATGTCCAATGTTGATATACTGCTAGCTTGATTCCAGGAATGATTCTGCCTGCTGTGTATGTCCAAAGGAGAGAGTGCCCCCAAGGAGCTTGTTTAAGAGTTTAAAAACTAGCATTCTGTTTTGTTACTTACATAGTTGTTGCAGTTTTATCATATGGAGTGGGTGCTGGAATTCATATCTTAGTATCACTGCGTTCAGTTTGGCTTATAGTAGGTGAAAGGTTTTAGCTTCATCCTACAGTCCTTTGTGTAGTCTTTCAGGTATGACTGCAGGCAATAATGCCATTTTTCCGAGCAGGTCACATGAGGGAAGCTGACTTCTTCACCCCAGAGTGGGTGTACAACCAGTGCTTTTCAGTCTCTGGAGTTTTGCCTACTAGCCAAGGATTCATGCTTCCCAGGCCAACCAAGTTCATATATGTATTGGCACTCTCGGACCAGTTGCTTCTGGCTGGAGGCCTGATTATTGGGGTGCCTTATCTTTGCCAGGATTGCCTTGTGGAAGGCTGTAAGCATAAAGAGGCAGCAGCTTGCCTTTATTCAGAGCTGCTCAGCCCCAGCAGGCATATTCCTGTCGAAGCTGCATCCAACTGGCTTACCTGGTGCTCTTTCATGGGAGAAAATGGATCACAGCTGGCACGTTTTTTGTAGACTCTTGGTTGCACTGTGACCATTTAATGAAGATTTGTTTCCTCCAGTTTAGCTTATCGTCCACCTTGAAGACACCTGATTGGGTGGCAGAATCTGTGTGATAACAGTACAGTACAGTTCTGGAAAAGCCCTAAGGAGGGTCTCAGGGGCCCCAAACATGTTCACCTGTTTTACAAAGTACCTGTGGTCTGATTAAAGAAATTTTCTGATTGTGAAGAAAACTGCAGTCAACAAGTGGTAACCTTGTTGAGCTCAGTGGTGCCTTGAAGGGTCTATCCCTTTTTGAATGTGTGGTATCAGTAGTGAATGCCTTAGGAGCTGTGCTTTTAAGAATCATTTGGTTAGGCATGTGGATGCTCATTGCCAATGGCATACCATGCTTATCATGTAAATATAGAAACTGAGTAGCAGCAGAATTAGCAGTTGAACAACTAGCGTCTCCAGGAGTCATAAGTTGCATGGAATTTATGACACGACCCTAGATTGAGCTTGACATGCCAATGTTGGCAGGGCATCAAAACAGAGAGAAATAGATGTCCTTCTGATCATACCCTGGCTTAATGCACAGCTCAGGGTCAGATTCCTCAAGCCAGAAAGCCAGGGTATTCTTCACCACATACAACCTTTGGCCCTTGGTGCCATTCATTATGTTCCCAGGGAGCCTAACTTTTCTGTCCCTATGCTGTCTGATGATTTGAACCACATTGCTCTGGGCTCTGCAGGTCTGTGTTTGCTTTTCCATGTCTTTTAAGAACACTGTTTTAAATGCTGATTACAGTTTTGACTTGGTTTACACATACTGGGCCCAGTCATGGGCATACAGCATAGGCACATAGCATCCTAATCCACAGGGCCAAGCGTTTTAATGGACAGGTAAATGGATAGGGTGGTGAAGGCCTGAGGTAGATAGAGTCATCTCACAGTGTCCAAGGGGATCGCTTCCAGGACTTAAAGTTGACAAAATCTGGATGCTAAGTCACCTGAGGTAAATGATGTGATTACACATACTCTGCACTTAAGTCCTATTTAAGTCATGTTACAGTCCATGCCTGTTACCATGTAAATGTTGTGTAAATAGTTGTCATGAGTTATTGCTTAGGGAATAGTGACAAAAAAAGAACATCTAAACCTGTTTAGAGCACAGGCAGTTCTTGCCTCCCAGAGTATTTTCAAGTCTTTGTTGAAGTAGGACAAAATTTAGAGGTGATAGAGTAAAACATTGTTGAAAGAATTTGTTACATTTCCTGTAGTCATCAACTTATTCTTGCCTGTACTAGAAATTTGTAACTGTGTGGTGTTCACATCTGTAGTGTGTCGTGTGCTATATAAGTGGAGATGTTTGTGGTGGGTGCCAGTGTCAAATTACAGATTTGTCTTTTTTTGTTGCCTTTAGGTTTAAAGAAAATCGAAAAGATGATATTTGGCTTGTAGATGTAAGTATATAAATTTAATTACCCTCCCCTACTATGTTATGTAGCATTTTCTAAAAGAAGAGAACGTGCATTTGGATCTACTGTTTGCTTTCTCAGGTTTTACTCTTAGGGTTTTGTATTTTGAAATTTGTATTAGTGTTATTAGTTATTTGTTAATTGATTATTATTACTTTATCAGTTCACATAGTTTATTATTTATTAGTTGTTTTGCTCGTTTGTTATTAGGTAGTAGGGATTTCACTGTGACATCTCTGTACATTCACCATTTTCCCTCTGTCACTTTCATTGCCTCCCTCAAAAAAACCAAAAATCCTCAGCAGGCTTCTTTGTTCCATCTTCGTAGTTGCAGATACTCTTTTACGATTTATTCTCTAGGTTTTAAGTTGAATTTATTCATTTCATAGTAAAAATTAGTCTCCACGTTTAAAGTTCCTGGCAAAGGAACTTACCTATTTTTGATGAAATTCAGAGGTCTGTGGGACAGTGAGGACAGAAGTTGGAACCCACTCCGTTAGTGAAGTACATCTGAATTACAGTACGCTCTTCCTATGAAATCTACTGTTTCTCCATGTTTTCCAAGAGATTGAGTATGTTCATATCTCTTAGTAGTCACAGCATACACTCATCTTGATAATGAAAAAAATTCAATTTTCATTTTCCTTTCCTCACTTTCAAGTTTGGAAGATACTTATACTTCGTAGTTTTTGGAGCTTGTTTTACATGCCTGAGTGCAACATAAAGCGGCCACAAATGAAAGGGACAGAATAGCAGATGTGACAATTACAAGGCCATTCAGTGGGGCACCGAACCTCCATCTCATTCTCTCTCTTAGGTGACTTCACATTTCCATAGTTGGAAGTTTAAGAATAATTTTCATTTCACGAGCAGTTGATTACGTAGTATGACTAGGGAACCTAAGTATCACCTCACAGTTTCATAAGTCTGAATGAAGTATCGGGGATTGTGGTTTTATTTTAACCATCCTGTCTTATCTCTTAGCCAAAGCAGTCATCTTAATGATCGCCCACATTTCACTAGTAGAAGTAATGAAAGTCAGCAAAGGCAACTGCTGTGCTTAAATTTCTGTAACGAAAAATAGCCCAGTGTTTGTCATTAATAGGGGATAGATGTGGTAATAGTATTCACGTGGTTTTGTGGTGTTTCATTTTTTATAGAATGTGGACATATTCACTTGAAGCAAAATCATTTCTTATTTATTTATTTTTTGGGTCCGGTCGTGGGGGCCTGAACTCTGGGCCTGGGCACTGTCCCTCAGCTCTTCAGCTCAAGGCTAGCACTCTACCACTTGAGCCACAGTGCCACTTTTGGCTTTTTTTCTTTTTGCGTATGTGGTGCTGAGGAATCGAACCCAGGGCCTCATGCATGTAAGGCAAGCACTCTACCACTGAGCCACCTTCCCAGCCCCAGCAAAATCATTTCTATGTTAGCTTATGTATCTTTAAAAAATATCAGTAGTCATTTTAAATGAACTGAAATAGTATTTGTACTAGAAGTTAACCTATCTAGATTTATACATATTTTTAATTAATATTTTATTATCTTTAAGTAGTTGTATAGACTATATAACTTAACACTTTTTTAGTATATGTGGTGTGTGTGTGTGTGTGTGTATGTATGTGTTTATTTATATTTCATCATCACGCAACTACCAGTGAGGTTTAAACTCAGTGGGCACTGGGTACTGTCCCTTAGCTCTTTTGCTAGTTACTTGGAGATAAGAATCTCACAAACTTTTCTGCCCAGGCTGGCTTCCAGCTACAATCCTCAAATTTCAACTACCTGGTTAGCTAGGATTACAAGTGTGAGCCACACAAGCCTTCCATCAGACTGAAGTTATTGTCAAATACAAATTATTAACATATTAATAGTCAAAGACATTCTTTAAATATTTAGACCTATATAGTAGCACTTTTTGAAGTTTCTTTCTTTTGATTTGGATAGTTCTATGCACCGTGGTGTGGCCATTGTAAAAAATTGGAACCAATTTGGAATGAAGTTGGTCTTGAGATGAAAAGCATTGGCTCTCCAGTGAAAGTTGGAAAGATGGATGCCACTTCCTATTCTAGTAAGCCTTTTCTTAAAGTTTATGGTTTTACTGTTCTTAAATTGAAAATGTTTTAATTACAGGCAGTAGTGTTTAAATCTTGCAAATTGCTTTTTGATCCTGTAAAATTATCTTGATAATCTCAAAGACATTATGAGCTAAGTGAATTGGTCATTACATATTTAATGTGGAGTGAGGCCCTAGGGGAGACCTGTAAACCATCATTTGTTACCAGTCAAGTCCATTTACAGGAGGCAAGTACAGGAGTCAACATGTTACTTTGATGTTGTTATTGTATGTATAGCCTTGGTGGAGCACACGGGAATGTGTAGGTAAGTGTATTTAGCATAGATACACAGTAAAAAATCAGAAGATATTCAGAGTTGAAAATGAGTTTATTGAGTCCATATCAAGAATAGAACAGAATGAAACATACACAGAGAAACTAGGAGATACGTCATGTTTGTTCTGCCTATTTTTGGAACCTGCCCAAAGTTTTGGAACCTGTTTGCTGTTGTCCTGGCGGTTTTTGTGCCTGTTAGCAAAATTGAACAATTGTGACAAAAACTAACTCCTAAAAATACTCTTGAAAGCCTGAAATAAATATTATCTGACCTATTACAGATAAAATTCACTGGCAATTGTCTTAAGAGATTTTGGAAAAAAGGAATTAAATATAAAGAATTATAAGTTATCATAGAAATTTGGAAAGGTCATAGCTTCAGAAAGCAAGGCCTGCCTTTCTTTCCTGTGTTTGCTCTATAATGCTGGGATTGTTTCTGAGGGCCTTAAACTTTGGTCTCCATATTGGAAAATACTTCATTGTAATGCTTTTCATTGCTTATTTTGAAGTTGTAATGACGTAGCACGTAATATCCCTTGTGTCTTTTAGCTAATAGAGAAAGTAGAAGGATGCAAGCTACACTTCTTTTTAGGTAGTCAACTGTCGTCTCTAGGTTACACCTTTAGAATGAGCTAGAATTAGGTTTTAATCTTGGCTGCTTTATAGTTTGGCAAAAATACTTACTCCCTCTGAAATGTAGTTTCCTTGCATCAGGGAGTGTGATGTTTTCAGGATTGTGAACACTATAGATGTTCTATATTCAGAGCCTCTTGGCATAAAGCCTAGCACATATATGATACTAAAAGGTACTCTTGATTGTTAAAGCCTCCCAGCTCAGGTAATGTATTTTGCATTTGATGAGTTATCCATGGGAAAGTAATACACAATTTTGAGACGGCAAATACTAGAGAAAAATGTTGATGGCACAGCTTATGGGATGCAAGAGGAGAACTGGTAGACCCAGAGGTCATTGAGGGAAACTTTAGAGTGGAAAATGGTAGGAATTGACCCAGTAGTGCAGAGGAGCATTAGAAGAAGTGACAGTGTACACATCTCAGTGAAGTACCACTCTTAGTGGAAAGGAATGTCAGTCGTATGTACATTTTCAATTATTTAATTGAATTGATAGTGTTATTATTTAGAATCAGGTGCATGTTAGAGCTACAATTAATGAGCAACACAAATACATGTGTGTGTGTGTGTGTAATTTGTTAGAATTGGAGTGTGAACTGAGGGTCCTGGTGCTTGCAGAATGAACGTTTTTATTGCTAAGCACCATCTCCAGTCCTGCAAATGAGTTTTTGAAACTTTGAAAGGACAAGAAACATAACCAGTTTATTATTGTAGAAAGGGAGAGAATAACGAATGAGTTTATATTTCTTGAAATGAATATTTAATGATATTAAAGAAGTTATTGATTTATTGTTCAGTAGTTACTCATGAAAGTAAGTTTTTATGTCTAGACGTTGGTTAAACAAATACACTTTATATATCTATTTGGCAGTACTGGAGATTGAAATTAAGACCTCACACTTATTGGGCAGGTACTGTACTGCTTGATCCATGCCTCTCGCCCTTTTTGCCCTGGTGTGTGTGTGTGTGTGTGTGTGTGTGTGTGTGTGTGTGTGTGTGTTTGTGAAGGTATGTGTGCCTGAGTGTGCACATGTGTACGCATGACAATATGGGGCTTTGAACTTGAGCCTTAGCTTTATTACTCAAGTCGGGCCATGCTTCCATTTGACCCATGCTTCCATTTCTGGATTTTTGTTGGTTAATTGGGGATGAGTCCTACAGACTTTTCTATGAGGACTGGCTTTGAACAGTGATTTTCAGATCTCAGCCTCCTTTAGGTAGGATTATAGGTTGAGCCACCTGAGTGCCCAGCTTGCTCTGGTTAGGTTTTGATAAGACTCTTGCTTAATTTGTTTTTTCAAGCCATCTCTCAGTGTTGTGTGTCTTAACTATGGAATACTGAAAATTTCTTCTGTCCTCTTGACCCTTCTTTTTCTGCTTATAATCTGTTGATTGTCTGTCTGCAATAGGTTTGCAGGTGCTTCTTGTCATCTCTTGATCCAAAGGCCCAAGCCAACTTCCAAATCTTTTAGATTGGGTCGAGTGGGCATATTTTAAAATGCATTTTACATGATTTTGCTACATACTTAAGTTGGACAGTCAAAAAGTAAGATGGTATGATACACCATTTTTGTGGGTATATACCTATAGGATTTTGGTTTGGAACAAGATAGGATTATTCAGAGTAATAAAGTATAGAAAATGTCTCTGGACATTCTTTGATAGTAGATTATTTTTCGTTACAAAACTGCAGTAGTTGAAAGGAAAAACCATCAATTTTCTTGCTGAAATCTACAGACTTGTATAGATCTGATGGCTTGACATTACAAATTTGACCTGTTATGGTCTATTCTGCTCTATGTATTTGAAATTGTAGCAAAACTTATGATACCCAGGTTTAATAATAGTATAAGATGTTAAATAGTGTTGAGTGTAAATTCAGGTTAGACTCTCAATAGGTCTTTTCAAAAATGAGTACTAAATTGTTTTACATTGAAAAGTTGAATGATGATATAAGCTCTCTGAAATGGTACATTTATCTCTCTTCAACCTGTATGTGGTAACTTTTATGGTAAAACTATTTTACCTCTGTGTTGCATAAATTTACAGTTATATTTGGACAATTCATATTCTGACTTTTTACTTATAGGTTACATTTATAAGCTCATTTTGGTCAATAATTGTGTTTTAGTTTTTCAACCTTGTGTTAATATTTTGGGTGGCCAATTCTGGAATCATTTTGGGGGGCATGGTTTTAGTGTATAGTAGGATATTTTACTTCCATCTCTGTCCTCTATTCACCAGATTCAAATAGTACCTCCTTAGTTCCCCTGCTCTCCCAGTGTATCCCAAACCATCTTGATTTAACTGACAATCACTACTGTATTTTGTGGCTTTTCTTATTAGATGTATAGTGACAGTAAATACTTAGAAAATAGGAATTTGGGGCTGAACAGGTTTCAAAGCCTTTCTAGTTTATCAGTCAAATAATAGAAGAAAACAAAAGGTGAAATTTGTATGTACTTCACACACTGAGTTAGACTATTGGTCCTAGGGTCAAAGATCACCATGACTCATATTCTTAGTTGTCTTTATGGCAAGCTGTTATCATTTCAAGGAGAATGCAGAAATGAAGTAGAGAATGTTATGTTTAGCTTTATTTTGTGCACATTAAAAATTACCAGTCTTCAGAGGAAGTCAAGCATGATTCTGATTCTTAACCCATTGAAAAATAGTCTCAATTCTTTGTATAAATTATTATATAAAATGAAAAGTGAAAGTCATTTTGTATTACCTGAATTTGCACACATTTTTCCTGCTGCATCGAAATTGTTGTGAGGAGCAGTTTAAAGATATTAAAGCTCATTATAAAATGCTCTACAAGCTAGTATTTAGGGTTATCTGAACATTGATGTGTCGGTAATTAATGATAAGATGGGGCTTACATCTAGTTTTTAAAGATCTAATTATTTTCTATATATTTTCCTATTTAAAAAGTCTCACAATCCTGCAAGATGAGTTGTATTCTCACAAGGGAGAGCAGACTCAGAGTCATGAAACACATCAGGTTACATTGGTAGGTGTATATGTATGTGTGCATGTATATAAAGGCATTGCCTAGTTATTACCTGTCTGTAGACCCAACCTTCCTTTGCTTCTATCCTTTTTATTGTACCATTCAACTTCTCTACAAAAAGCTTAAAGCTGATGAAGCTTTAGGACTCAATGACAAAAGATTCTATCAAAAGACAGGAGGATTGACTTAAGTGGTAAGCCCTTAGTTCAATCCCCAGTACTATCCAGAAAATTAGGTAATAAATGAAGGTTCGTGGTCCAGTAGACAAGGCATTTAGGGTAGGTGGTATGTGGTATCCCCATCTTCTAGATGTAAAAATGAAGGGCATGCAAATGCAAGTTAATTGATAGGATAGGGATCTGTGGGGAGCTAGTATTTTTCTGATGAAGCCTGTTTGGAGATTCTTAGCATCACTCTCTGTAAGACCACCACTGTTTCCAATTGATTGCATACTTTCTTTATTTGATATTTGGCATTATAGAGTTTGCATTCAAGGCATTGTGCTTTGCTATAAACAAGTACTCTTATCATTTGAGTGACACCCCAGTACTCTTTTTGCATAGGGGCCTCCATTTTTGCCATGGGCTTGCTTCAGACCTTGATCCTTCTACTTACAGCTAAAATTGTGGGCATGAATCACCACATCTGGTTTAATGGTTGAGATGGAGGTCTCCGTAATTTTTGTCCTAGGATAGCCTCAGACTACAGTCCTCCCAATCTTTGTCTCTCAAGTTTCTGGGATTACACCACACTTGGCCTTAAATTTTTAAAAATTATGTGGTGATATTACTAGTGGAACATCAGTTATTCTTTATGTTTGTAGTTTATGTTATTTATGGTTTTGCTTTTTTAATGAGTTTTAGTAGAATATAATAAGAACTTGTGTTTCCTGGCCTCCAGCAGTTGGGAAGGGAGACGTTTAAAATAATTTACTCTGATCTCCCAAGTCATTTGGCTTTGAACAGTGCAGTCCCAACAGCTACACTCATACTCTGTTAGAATGTACAGAATTAAGTCATAAATGATAAATGACACAAGTAATACAAGCAGTTGCATTGAGTTCACATGAATATTCACAGGCAGGCCTGTATCAGTCTTGGTTACCTTTGCTCTTTGAAGTGACTTTTATAGATTGACCATTAAGGAAACCTTTCCAAACAAATTCTTCCACACATCTAAGGGAGGGATGACAAACGAAGATGGAGAGCTTTGTGATATTATCTTGCCACAGATTTACTTTGTCATTCATTTGACTTGGGGAGGAATAAGAAACAACATTTATGAAGATCACTAAAGTATTTCAGAGAACTGAGCCCAAGTCTGGAAGTATTTTCTCCATAAATGATGAACAAGTACCCTGGAAGTAAAATAGTTGTAAAGGGGAAAATGATGTGCATTAATATTAATTCTGCATACTTTGCATAATTTTATAAGTGTTTTTGTGTAAGATCAAATAACTGAGACTCTACCATTCTGTTCTTGACTAGTCTTTCAGGTAGTATGGTAATTAATTTGGTAAACAGTTGCTATACTCTTAAAAGTCCTGATTTTCTATTGATGTTTGCTCTTTTGTTTTCAAATGATCCTATTATAGCAAATATTTCTCATTGTAATGTTTTTTAGAATAATCTTGAAAATTGGGTTATTAGGATTGTCCTAGGTTATTAGAAAAGCAGAAAATTAAAAATTGATTTTTTTATCATATGTTGACAACAGTATGAGATTTTTGCAGGTATAGTGTGTATTTTACAATTAAATATACTGCCATTCTTTGAAGACTCAGGGAACAATAAGGGAAGAGTAGAGGTTCTTTTAATTTTTTTATTAATTTTTGTAGAAGAATAATAAGATCTGTAATAAATTCTTGTTCTAGAATCAAATGAGACATTTTTTGTACTGTATATGTTTTTTTCTTCTTTTACCAAAATATCTTTTATTCTGAGTTCTTAATAAATTTAGTCTTTTGATATTTATTTTTGTTTGGTCATTATATTTTGTGTAGTACCATAGATTAAGAAATTATTTTATGTGAAAAATTGTCATTTTTTTTCTTTTTTTAATGCTTCAAAACATATATACATGGGTTTGTGTACATAGAGCTATATCCCTTAAGTAAAAGGCTCATTTGTTACCTAGTTTCTCATTTAAAACAAATTTAGAATTATTTATTCTTTTTCTTATCAAGGCATTGCTTCAGAGTTTGGAGTTCGAGGTTATCCAACAATTAAGCTGTAAGTTGAGTGTTGTATGTTTATATGTATATTTTTAATAGTTCACTCTGCTTACATTTTATGTTTATTTCTAGTATTTCCATGGTGAATTGAAAGATCTGGGGTTAGTCATGTTTTCTTTTTAGGCAAAGTGTGTTCAAAGAGGACTTTGTATCTGCCTTTCTTCTGCTTGAGTAGTTTTGCTGCTTATGGCTAATGTGTTGTGCTGGCTGTGTGGGGTGACCATATGAATAGTCTCGTTTGGGAGAGAGGGCTCTGCTTTGTCATTGTTAATCACAATTTCTCACAGATCACGTGTGTATATAATTGACATGGAAGCAAAAAGAAACTAATCATAATTGATGGATGGTAATTCTAAGTTTGGGTGTTGAGGTAGTGTAATAAAGCATACAGGTTAGAAGAAATAGTGTGGTGATTTTAAAGGACTTAGTTAATAATCATGACTTCTAGATGTTTCCAGGACTTCCATTACCCTTACAGTGGTAATGTGGAGAGCAAGTGAATTGGTTTGAAAGTTATTTTATGATAAAATAAGGAATTTTTTCAATATTTTAGAATCTTGCACTTCAAAATTTGAGTATTTTAAGCTTATTTCCTGTTGTGTGTATGTGTTGAACTTCCTTTCTGCACTTGAAAAAAACTTTGCTATGTTTCTTTTACTTGGATTTAAGCAAATCATTCTTTTTTTTTCTGTTTAACTACAGTGTTGTGTTATGCTTCTTCATTTTTCCTTTTTGTACTTTCAGTTAATTAGATAAACAATAACTCATTGGCAGGCTTTTTTGAAGAATTATTTAAATTTGTAGAAGAGTTTTATATTATGGACATTGGTTCATCTATTAAGTAACTATGATATTATATTGTTTAAAATCTGTTAGTTCTGTTTTTTCCCCTTTCAATAGAGAAGAGAGTGAGAGTTAGTGTTTCAAGTTTTTGTCCATGAGTGTGTTCATTACTCATTTTTCTGAAGGCTTGAATACAGTGTGCCTATCAAATACAGAGAAAAATGTTTTCATATAATTCTAGTAAAGCGCAATCTTTTTCCTTACGTTTTGAGTTGCTGGTGGTCTGAAGTCAATTACTCATTGTGTTTTACAGACTGTGCCATTTAGTAAACTCCTCTATACCTCCCCTTTTGCATACTGTAAGTTCATGCTGCAACAGAGGATGATTCTTAAATGTTAAAAGAGTTAAGATAACAAGTACTTATCCTTTTTCCTTTTCCTTTTTCTTTCTTTTCTTTTTCTTTTTTTTTGCTTTTAAGATTAAAAGGAGACTTGGCATATAATTACAGAGGACCACGAACTAAAGACGATATTATTGAATTTGCTCATAGAGTGTCTGGGTAAGTTCTTATTATAAAAATAACTTAGCATACCATACTAATACTTGAAAATGCAATATATTATAATAAAACTGAACCTCACACTCATATTTTAGGGACTTACCTAAATTAAATAAAATGAATTTATTCCATTTGTCTATGTATATGATAGCTTTAAACCATTATATGATAAATTAAAACAGCAAAGATTCATTGTGTTGGGCTGATAGTCCATCAGAGCATTTGAGGAAATAGAAATAGTAATGATCTGTATACATTAAAGTTTGTAATTATTGTTAATAAAACTTCTGTTATTTTCTCATTGTAATTGTGGGTTTCATTTTCGTGTCCTTTGTGAATAAAAACATTTTGCAGGAGCTGTGATATATGAGTTGCTAGTATGTGTTTTATTCCTAAGTGACATTTACTGTTCGTATTTATGTTATTAATAAGCTTGATTCCGGCATAAGAAGAGACCCCTGAGGTAAATGACTGGGACTCTATTGCAAATGCAGTTTCAGGAGCCAGTCCTGGAGTTGCATCACTTCTAGTTAATTACTAAGTATTAAAATAGAAGAGGGAAAATGATGCAATTAGCTATGTGTGCACTTTGAGAAACTTTGCCTTTAGCCTGTCTTGTGATCTTTTTAATAATGCCTTGCAGTACAAATCTAATATTGTATACCATATTTACAAGATTGTGTCTTTTATTTATTCCATGATATATTTTCTAATAATCTTTGCCTTCACTCATTTCCCAATGCCGGCTTTTGTCAGTTGCTTATATAATGAAACTATTGTAGAGTCCTGGTTTCTCTTTATGAGCTGAGCTTCTTATGCATAAACCATACTATTCTTTTCTTCATTTTTCTGAAACTAATATATTTTTTAAAGCTTTTGGGACTTTAACTTTCATTGAATACTTAAATATATTTAAATGACATTGTGTTTCCCTGAGTGCTTTTTGGAAGGGAAATAAGATCTCATGTGAATTGTTTGTTTTTAGCTGAAGACTCTAAATAGATGACAGTTCCGTTTTTTATCTGTCAAAATATTTTCAGTGATGATGCTCTGAAGCTATGTATTTATTCACAACTTAACCTAATTGATTGAACTGTGATACTTCATAGATATATGGGTAGAATAGTTGTTTCCTGGGAATTTGTTAGGTTATATTGATTTGCCAAAGCATCTGATATGCGGTTGACATTTCTAAAACCTTACGATTTAGAATATGATTGGCCATCATACAGCTGTGTTATATAATCTATTTTTAGTTCATATTTGTTCATTTTGCTTTCTAACAGGGCTCTAATCCGACCACTTCCAAGTCAGCAAATGTTTGAACATGTGCAGAAGCGACATCCTGTGTTCTTTGTTTACGTAGGCGGTGAATCACCACTGAAAGTATGAAATTACTTTCTTACCTACAGAAAATTCACATGACAATTTAACTTGGTTTCAGATGTCACTCAAAATTTACTCCACTCTTACTGGAAATATTTTGTTGCCTAAGTAATTTTTGTAACCAGAACACTGGTTGTGTACTTGCTGTTTGTGTTGTTAGCTGTGTATGTACATAGTGCCTGCCTTGGTGTTTCTCCTGTTACTGACCCCCAAGGCCATCCAGAGTTTGCATCGCTTTTAACAGTCTTTGTCCAAGGCAGTACTGCTGTGGGTGTCACAACTCACCACTGTGGACATGAGACATGCACATCTTCCTTGGCCACTGTGCACCAGAATTCACCTCACTTTCTGTTTATAACTAAGCCAACTCAGCCTTACTTGGAAACAGACTTTTACACGCAGTTGCAGTGTCTTTTGCCTTAATGATGTATTTGACTTGCTTTATTTTATGTTCGTTAACTCAGTGTATAATAGGAGAGTGTTAACCTGATGATGTTTACTACATAAAATTTCTTTGACATCTTATGAGTGACAGTTTTAATCTTTAGTCTTGTAAAATGGTCTTTATTTTCTGCTTGTGTTGTCACAGGAGAAATACATAGATGCTGCTTCAGAACTCATTGTGTATACCTACTTCTTTTCTGCCTCAGAAGAAGTGGTTCCTGAGGTAATATTTAAAATTGAATTCTGATAATAAAATCTCTTCTTTTAGATTTTACTGCTTGATTTTTTTCGTATTTATTGTGACATATGGAAAGAGTAAACCTGTTAGCTCTTTCTTTACTGCTCATACCAAACTACTTATAAAATCGACTATCAACAGATTCTTGACATTTACTGAAGAATTCATTACATTTGTGGTTTTGTCTTTATGTAATAACCTGTGTGACAGATGGTATCTGAAACCCTTGACTTGTTTATAAGTAGTATGTGTTGCAGATGAACTCTTCTGTTGGGTTGGCAGAATTCACTAGTGATGCTCAGAAAAACTTTTATAAACAGGACAAGTGCAGTGAAAAAAATCAAAAGGCATTGTGGGACATACAGGATTGGCATAACTATTCTTTATGGGTCAGCCAAGAAATATCAGTGTGAGAAGAAAACAATATAAACTGGGATTAAACCTGATTTAAAAAAGAGCACGTGAAGGTCTGTAGGCAGGCTGTCAGTAACAGTTTCGGGATAAAAGATGACAGAAAAGGAACTACAGTAGCCATTGTGCTTGGTTCAGTGAGACAGGAGGTAGCAGAGACAGTTCCATATCATGTATGTTGTGGCAGTGCAGATGATGGGGTTGTAGTTAAAGAATATGGACTGAATATTACTCTGTGTTACCCAGGATGTTCTGCTCTGTGCAGAAAGAATTGGATAGGTGTAAAGAGACAAGTTAAAGTTCTGCAGTACACAGGGTGTTAGGTCTTAGGCGCTAGTAAGAGAACTGGGGAGACTTGAAAGGCTTGTTGTGTTTAAGTGAGAATTGTCATAACCCCGTGATACAGAAGGAAAGGTTGCACTGAGGATGATGTACTTCTTGGGTGGAATACCTGGGTGGATGGTGGCATTCTTTATGACTAGGAGGGGTGGGGGAAAAAACTGGGGAAAAGTTAGGAGGGGGCGGGGTAATCTAAGAGCTTTCAGTGATTTAATTTGACTCAGTATGGCTTGCTTGATATCCAAAGGCAAACTTCAAATAAACAACATTAATGTGAGAGAGTGTGTGTGTGTGTGTGTGTGTGTGTGTGTGAGAGAGAGAGAGAGAGAGAGAACCTAGCTCAAGATTTCAGGGAGGTAAAGATAGAATGTCAGGTCAAGACCATTCCAGACAAAGTTTACAAGACTCTTATCTCAAAAACAAAATACAAAATACATGGTTAATTGCATGGCTCAGGTAGTAGAGCTCTGACTTAACTTGTACAAGGACTTGGGTTCAATCCCTGGTAATCCAGAAAGTTGAGTAAACTGCCTACTCCTGTCAAGTTTTCTAGTAGTTCTGGTTGTTGGTACCATCCAAGACCTAATATAAAAATAGGATGTATTAGTTAAGGCCCTCAGATGCCAAATCTTGGGGGACAGGGTACATATGACATCTACTACGTGGGCTCACTTTATTATTAGCTATTCCAGCTAATTTCTTTAAGCATTTTTAAGTCAATTTTCAAAATGTCAGTATGTGTCATTTCTCTTTATTAGATCTTAAATCCGTTATTGTAAAAAGTTGACTGGAAAAAATAGTAATTTCAAAATAATATGAAGAGTTTTACTACTGTAGGAGATTCTCAAGAAAATATAAAGTTTGTAATTTTGTGGTCTCTGTATTTTGAATATTAGTGTCTTATTCAGAATTTTTCTAGCTTTAATCTAGGTTTTATGAAAACTTGAGTAAGTACAGTGAACAGACATAAGAATGAATTGAAACAGTTTTTAACATGAGAATACTTAGATGCACAGAGAACAGTGAATAGACAGTTATAAGATGGTGCGATCACAGGAACACAGAGAGAAGGGTAGACCAGGAGTATGTGGCATTAGATGACAACTGCAAGTGTTCAGACTAGTTCAGTGCTCTTCTAGAAAGTGCCACTCAGGTTTCTTTGAAAGGAGGAGATATTGAATGTGAAAAACCCTTCCCAAACATCTTTGTGAATTAGTTCTCAGGAACAGTTAATAACCTGTGCTTGATCACTGAGCCTAACAAGTGCTTTACCACTTCTGCGATGAAGTAGTTCTTTTCACAGTCTACATCATTTTTGATTAGTAATGTAACTAAATCATTCCTGTCTTCTCGTACTGAGATATGCCTGCCTTCTGTTCCCCTTATTCATAGTTACTTTCGTTTTTCATGTTCATGTAATGACATCACTGCTTCTCTACTACAGTTTGACTCTTTAGAAGTACTTGTTGTATAGAAACAAAGGTTTTCCTAATGACCTTATGAATGACGATTGCAAGCTGGTTTTAAAATCAGTTGACTGTTTACACTGTGCTATTGCTTGTTCTTTAATGCAATTCATAGCTACTGTGTGAGGTAGGCAGCCTCGGTGTCTTTATGTTTGTGGGGGAAGGCAACAGACCCTCCCCTCAGTGAAGTGTTGGGCCCACATCACACATCTGGTGTGATGCCTGTCTTGCTGCTTCACTGCTCCTAAGAGCTTCCTTCCTAGGTGATACTCCAGCTGTTAGCAGCTTTAAAAGTGGTCCATGGTCTCCCATGGCAAACAGAACACTGTCCAAAGTATGTATATGGTATTTATAAACATTTAAATCCAACCTTTGGATGAGCTTTGAATTCTACTGGCTTATTATTGTTATTGGTGGTATTATTTTACTAACTTTCATTGACTGTGTATATTTTTGTACTTTTTGAATCCTAGCTGCCAATTAAAATTTGATAAAACTTGTTTAAATTTCTAATGTTTTACAGTATGTGACGCTAAAAGAGATGCCAGCTGTGCTTGTTTTCAAAGATAAAACATACTTCGTTTATGATGGTGAGTTTCAAAGATTTTACTGATAGAAAATGTGCAATGTTATATGCATGATAGGAATTGTTGCTAAAAGATTTAGTAAATACCAAAAGTACTTAGAGTCCCTGTTAATGTGCAGTGTTGTATGTATGATAGGATGTGTTGCTAAAAAAGTACTTACAATCCCTGTTAGCTGAATGATTGAAGTGAATTTTTTCTTCATCGGTTCTTAAGTGTCACGTTTTCAATTTAGTATACTTTTACTGACTTCTGTTTTCAGTGTGTTTTATCAAATGACCTGGCGTTTTGAGAACCTTTGATACTATTTCATTATGCTCAGAAATTACAAGAAGACAACAAACATTACTCATATAAACATGAACAAATAAAACAGTGTTAGTTCCTATTACACACACCCAGAAATCTCTCCTACTTCTCTCCCTCCCTTTCAGATATACTACTTCTTTGAAGCATATACTTTCTTTTGAAGTAATTTTTTTATACTAAGCATCATAAACAGTGATACAATCAAAGTCCTGCATACTATTACCAAGTTCTAACACATACCTAAATAGCATTTTTTGGATCATTTTAAAGTAAATCCCAGAGGCATCTCATGATCTTGTCTTTTGTTACACCTCTTAAAGAACCTTTCATTTTTGATGACTGCATACTATTTATACACATAAGGTGATCACTTGTTCCTTCCTGCCATCAATTATCTACTCACATGATTTCCAAATGGGATAGAGCAGCCAAAGCATGGGAAACTGGGAAATAGAGAATGACAGCTGCTGGTACTCACACAGCGCTGTCTCACAGGACATGCAGAGTTACTCATGGCCATCACTGCAACATTGTAAATCACAATTTAATAAATTCAAAGTGCGGTTTGTTATTCCAATCACTGTGAGTGACCTGATGTGGCCTGAGTACTGTGTTGAAGACCACAGATATAGAGCATTCTAGAGTGTGCTATGGCATTGACTTCTAGTAAAATGAGAATTCAAGTGGACAGAAAAATGTCCAATAGAACAATTTTGATGCAGTTTAGTAAAAGGAAAGTTTTATTTATTTTGACAGTTATGAAAACGAAACAATTTCTAATCTTCATTGTGTTTAAATGAAGTAGAAAGTGAAATTAATATCTTGCTATGGAATCATTGTGATTTATGGTGTCAAGACAGTAAGTAGACATTGTCATTTTCCTCCAAAGAAATCACATAGCAAATCGCTTATGTCCTGTGTTACAACGGTGGTAAACTGAGAGTGAGGACCAAGGCGGCATGTGCAGCTATTTGGCTATTCATTTATGTGCTCCTGCAATCATTCCTCTACTGCATGTTCCTTGAATGTTTGCATAGACAGCAGTCCAAAAGGAATCTTAAGCATAATTTGCATATGTAAAAAAGAGAAGAAAAATTTAAATCTAAATCTGTCCTTCCTACTTGCTGTTTGATTACAGCATTACTTACATGATACTCAGTTTGGTTTTGTTCGTTAAAATGATCCTTTAAGGGTCTGGCTTGGAGGGATGGGGGCGAATGATGAAAGAGGTGCGTTGTCTTCATAAACTCACTTTTCAGTGGTAACCCCTTTGAAGATAATAAAAATATTTTTTAACTACATAAAAGTATAATTAAAAATCCTTGAAGACCTGTATTCTTACTATTTTACAGATAAAACTTTTTTGCAGAAGAGGCTAAGTCTCTGGTATTAAGGACCAGCTTTCGGATATTTTTTTGTTTTTTTTTTCTCTTGTCAGAGAGCCACTCTGAGGCTTTTGGGAAACACATGGTCATGACTGTGTGGATGTAAATGTGTTCTTTGAGCCTGCCTGAGAAAGGACATCTTCTCATCCTCCCATGTTTCAGGTGTGGCTGCAGGACATGAGGATTATGTGGAGATCCTATTGGTGTCACCAGAGCCAAAATTTGCTCCTACACACTAGACAGTATTTAGAGCCTGTTCACTTTGGCGTTTATTCCAAGCATTAACTACTGCTAGTCAGTGTGGAAGCACTAGATCAGGAGGATAGTTTATTTTCCAAAGATGTTTTTTTCACCGGCAGAAAATTGTAGCCCAGTAATAGGCTAATTGTTTTTAAGTCTGTATCCCTAAATGCTTTCAGATTTGCATTATATTATTTTATCGATTTGATACCTTGAAAATGTTTTGTTAGCAATGTAAGTGACAGAAAAAGCACATCTTCCAAGAAATCAGTATAATCCAGATGACAGCCTTGGCAGGTGTTTAAAGATGTGTGCTTTACATGGGCTTTTTCATGCAGTTGCAATCATTTTTCAAAATTACTTCAGAATTACTTCTAATTGGGATAGAAATTTTTGAACAGTATATTAGCTAGCTGTTTACTGAGGAATTATTTGATATTGGGGAAGAAAAAAAAACAACGTACTACTATGATCTTACATGTATGTTTAAGTTATAAATGTGAGAAAGAGCTGTGAACTAAGAAAAATGTCAAAACAGAGAAGAGCAAAAAGCTGTGATAAAAATTGCTGCAGTGCCATCACTGAGGGAAAACCATCAATCCGGAGCGGCCATTTAATGGGTGTACACCTTTGCTTAACATTCTGTCACCATCTGTTGCACTTTATTTTCTGTAGTGTTGCAGCACTATTCTCTTTAAATTTATAAATAGTCTTTTTCAACATACCAGAATCTGCTCAATTTTGTTTGGGGAATCTTATTTCCTGTATTTTAAATTAATTGTTGCTATTTTAAATGAATTTTTGAAGAATTAATTTGTACACTAATCTTTTCTGTGCATCTGACTGTTTGCCTAGAGTGCATTCCTAAATATAGAATTTTCAGATTTAAAATTAAGACCCTCTGTCAAGTATTCTTATAAACATTGTCATGCTAAAAACATGTTCATTATCACATTGTCTTTCACTTTATTTTTTTTTTAAGAATATGAAGATGGTGATCTGTCCTCATGGATAAGCAGGGAGAGGTTTCAGAACTACCTCACTATGGATGGCTTCCTCCTGTATGAACTGGGAGACACAGGTAGCAAGCACATGACTGACAGCTTAAATACGGTTCTGTAGAAAATGGATGTGGTGCTCTGTTTCCCAATTTAAAGTAGACCTGAATATTGTTAGTTCTGGCTCTGTAGACTGGTATTCCCAAATAATACACCATGTGTATTGCTTAAAGATTAGAAAGAGGATTTGCTTATCAGAATTGAAGTTGAAGACACTGGATGATCAGGGAATGGGAGAAATTCTGCCAGGAAGCTAGAGGGAACAGGCTGCTTTTGCTTTTCTTCTTCTTCTTTTTCTTTTTAGTATATATTTTTTATTCTAAAAATACTTTTATTTTTATTGTAAAAATACAGAGAGGTTACAGTGACATTAGGAAGGTAATGTGTACATTTCCTATCAAGCGTTGTTACCCCCTCCTTTGTTTTTCCCCTACCATCCCTTCCCTCCCACCTCCTCAAGTCCTTCCACCCCCCACAAAGTTGTAAAGTTTGTTTTCAACATAGTGTCTTATACATCTCATTGTTACAGTGGGTCAGCCTGTATTCTTGTTTCAGCATTTTGATATTTCCCTTCCCCTCCCCAAATCAGAAAAATGTATAAACAAGATGCAAGACACCAGAATCAAATACAGTGGAAACGGGTTATACCATGGGGGAAGAACATACAAAAGAAACAAAAGAAAATCACACAGTACATTATAAGTACATTAAAAACAACAGCAAGAAACATAAAAGCTCTTGTGTCCCTATCTTGGGGTTCATTTCACTTAGCATCATCTTATATGGTCATATGTACATAGCTTTTTTTTTTTTTTGGTTGGTCATGGGACCTGAACTCTGGGCCTGGGCACTGTCCCTTAGCTCTTCAGCTCAAGGCTAGTGTTCTACCACTTGAGCCACAGCGCCACTTCCAGCTTTTTTCTTTTTGCTTATATGGTGCTGAGGAATCGATCCCAGGGCCTCTTGCATGCAAGGCAAGCGCTCTACCACTGAGCCACCTTTCCAGCTCATATGTACATAGCTTTTGACCTTTTCTGCTTGTCTCAGACATATACTAGTTATTGCGAACAAGAGAAACCATGGGATCTATGTTTCTTTGGGCCTGGCTTACTTTACTTAATATAATTTTTTCCAAGTCTTTCCATTTCCTAACAAATGGGTGGTATCATTCTTTCTGATGGAGGCATAGAATTCCATTTTGTGTGTGTGTGTGTGTGTGTGTGTGTTGTATATATACCACATTTTCTTGATCCATTCATCTACGGAGGGGCATGTGGGTTGGTTCCATATCTTAGCTACAATAAATAATGCTTTTCTTAATTTTGCTTAGTTATGTTGTCAGTACTGTGCGTGCTTGGTTTCTGGGCCTCATGCTCTTCCTGGGTCTTTTCACTCTGGGCTGTCACGTTTCCACTTGAGCCATGCCTCTGTGCTTTTCCACTTAATCCACACATTCACTTCTGTTTGTTTCTTTGCTGGCTAATTGGAGATGAAAGTTTCTCCAATTAATCTCCAAGACTGGCTTCCTACCACAATCCTCAGATCTCAGATTTTAGGTGGAAGCCACCAGTACCAAGTAAGAGATGATAGTCAAAGCAAATGTAGACATGGATATGCAGTGATATGATACTAATACAAAGTGTTTTGTCAGTATCACAAATTACAAATGAGAAATTCTGCCTGTTTCTTTTTTCTTTTTGCCAGTCATAGGGCTTGAACTCTGGGCCTGGGAGTCCCTGAGCTCTTCAGCTCAAGGCTAGTGCTCTACCATTTGAGCCACTTTCTGGTGGTTAATTGGAGATAAGGGTTGGACAGACTTTCCTGCCCCAGCTTGCTTTGAACCACGATCCTCAGATCTCAGCCTCCAGAGTAGCTAGGATTATAAGCGTGAGCCACTGGTGCCTGGCAAAGTTCTGCCTGTTGCCACAGTTTTTATGATAATCAGGCTAGAATTAAGACTGAGCTTTTCTGTATAAGAAGTAATGAGCATGAGCTTTTTCTCAGTGATGTCCTGCTCGTACAAATTAGAAAGGTTCTCACATGCAATTGTGTAATTTCAGCAGGTTATCTGCTCTAGCTCTGGAGCAGGATTTTGTATGCTGTGTGGGCTGAGATGGTGTCAGCTTTCTTGTGGAATGTGCCTGTTCACTGCCCCACCTGTAGCCTCCTGGCCTGCAGTGGATAACTTCTGCATAATGACTGAGTCATTTGTGGTCACATTGCCACATGCACTGACTATGCTAAAACATCTTCCCTTCCCTTCCCCGCTCACGCCTCACATTGGCCCTCCAGATGGTTAAGAGAGCTGTATCACCTGCACCAAAGCACTTTCTATGTTCTTTCTTAGAATGTTTTCTGTGCCTGGAAATAATGTCATTTCATTTTCATCTGTCTACACTCAGGCCAGATATTACTTCCTTAGGAAAATCTTCATTGACACCTTGAACTCTGTTAATTACTCATGTTCTTTTATAGCAGTGTGCTTCTTCCCTCACAACTCATCTTAGTCTTCATTGAAGCTGTATGTTATGGGAATATCTCTGCACCTGCTAGCCTGTGCTTTCCTGGGCAGAGCTCTGTCTGCATGAGCTCATCATGATGTCTTTGTAGCTAGCCCAGTGTCTGCCACGTTCATTATGGAGCACTCCTGTGAGAAACTGTTGCTGTGTTTCTGTGGACCTGGCGGGTCCATGGGATTGTTGTTATCCACATATAATTAAAATATTAAAAAAATTGCAAATCATGAGGCTTTTGAAAATTAAAGGAACACATTATAAAAACAAGTACTGTTGGGTACCAGTGCCTCAACCTACAGTCCTAGCTGCTCAGGTGGCTGGTGTCTCATAATCTCTCCAGTTAATCAACAAAAAGGCAGGAAAGGAACCATGGATCAACTGGCAGAGTGCCAGACAGAGCTGAGTGAGAGTTACAGTTCACACCCTACTGCCCACAGAAAAAAGAAAGCCACAAGAACAAAAAAAAACAGGTATTGAATATTAAATGAAAAGATTCAGTGTTGGAAGCTAGTGTTTTCCTCAGGAGGTAAAAAATGGCCACGTATATCATGTAGAATGTCTAGATCAAACTAACAGGATTAGGTTAGGGAAACTATTTTAGTGACAGATTATAATGATATATTGCTGATTTAATCCTACATTTTTGTACCTGCCCTGAGTCAGAAAAGATTGAGTATCATGCATGTCATCTCGTTTAACTCTCCCAATAACTGCAATAGTTATTAGTGTTCTAAAACAAATGGAGACTTCCTGAGGTAAAGTCACACAGACAGGTTGTTCTGCCTGGTCCTGAACATGGTGTCTGGCAGCCGCTTTCTGATCCCTTGTCACTGTTCTGCTTACTACGGCAGCTGCCTTTCTGTTAGGTGTGAGGATGTGTGAGATTATGTTCTATTTTGAGGTGAAGAAATAGAGTTCATTTTCATTCTGTTCGGTTGTATTGGCAGTTAATGAATCCTGGTATCAAAGGGAATGGTCTTCACAGACCCCCCTTACAGCCATGTCCCGCAGGTCTTTGTGCACCTCGCAGGGTTTTAGCCTTTAACACACTACGTAGTCGTGGGGTGCCATTGAAAACAAACACGATTGGACTCTCTACATTGTTACAGATATCAGTCACATTTTAGAAGGCATAAGAGATTTATCCTTGGTCATTTACTCCTTCATTTCACAAATACAAATTTTAGCATAATGTCTTGATTTATTTAGGTATTAGCACATAAAATAATTAGAATAAAGTTCTAGAGACATTTTGTGCTGATTCCTTATCAAAAGAAAAATGACCATTGTAAAGTTTGTTTTGTGAGGGTTATATCATTCTGTCTTAAGAATTGAAGTATATGTCACTCCTAATTTCAGGAAAGCTGGTGGTGATTGCAGTTATTGATGAGAAAAATACATCACTTGAACATACCAGGTATAGTTGCCTTGAAATTTATTGAAGCCTTAAATATCATCTAACTCGCCCCTTGCATGGCTGAAGTGGAACTTTGTGTGGGAAATCCCTTTTTCTACAACCACTTAATAATGCAGCAGATGTTACCTTTTAATTATCTCTAATACGCTTTTCAAGTGAGGAGTTGAAATTTTTATGTCTATTTCTCTACAGATTAAAGTCAATTATTCAGGAAGTGGCTAGAGATTACAGAGACCATTTCCATAGGTATGTGTGTACTTCCATTCTAGAAGATTCCTTTATTTTTGTGTTTTGCAATGTATTAAAGCAAAACTAACATGCATTGAGCAGCTCCAAAAATCTGAAATTCAGAGTATTCTCAGACTTCAAACTCGGCCCTGGCGTGACAGTATGAATGGAGAAGTCCACACCCAAGCCAATGGGCAGCAGGCTGGCGTCAGCCTCATTAACTGTAGCACGCTGTTTCCTTTATGCTTTGTCTTGGGTCCCTTTCCCAATATTTCTTATTCCATAGATACAGATATTCCTCCTAACTTTTTAAAAATCTAGAAGTTCTCTGTCTACATCTTCTAGATAAGAGATCTTCATTTGTATTTCATACTTTGAAAGATAAATCAGATGCTGCTGAAGTGTCTGGGTGGTAAAATTCATTGATGTCATATCAATTACCGGTTTCTTGCTAGTATTTGAGGTGAGTTTTATGAAAAGAAAACATGCACAGATTTTCATAAATTTGAAATTAAATGAACAGTGATTTAACAAAAATTTAGATGACTGAGTTAAAAATGAATGGAGAAGCACTTTTTGCTATTTTCCAAACCATTCTATTTGTTGCTGCCATGAAAGATAGGACTGTAAACTAGTATTATTTTCTTACTCCAAACCTGATAGATGTCTGTGTGTGATGTTCATGGTTCACAGTAAATGGCTTCATGAGTAGTCCTTTTGGATAGTTTTTCTTAAATATATTTTGCTTAGAACCGTTATTTCCTTGCATTTAAAACTTAGAAGTGAACTTAGACTATTAATATCATTTATGTGCTTTGTATCTCAAAAGCAAGCAAAATGTACAGTTGCCCTGTTATAGGGTTACGTACTTTTACTAGGTTATAAAGTTTATAGTATTTCTGTTTTAAAAGAAATATTGTTCTCTTTCTCTAATCTCTTTCTCTTCTTTGTTACTATCTGTTAAGAGATTTTCAGTTTGGCCATATGGATGGAAACGACTATATAAATACCTTGCTGATGGAGTAAGTCAAGTGCTGATAGTTTCTGAGTTCTATAGTTGGACCTTACTGACTTGAACATTTCTCCCAATTCCCAATAACACCATAAGCTGGGACCAAGCCTTCTACACAGTAACCTGTCAGTGACATTTCATGTTCAAAACTTAGCCAGGAGATTTACTCCCCAGGACACTGTTGCCTTAGATCTCTCTTAACAGATGTTCTATATGTACTTGAAAAGATACACATTTACTGTGTATTTATTCTGCTGTCTGCATAGTGTGACAGTGGGAACCCAGAATCAGAATTTGTCATAGAGAATTTGTAGTAGTATGCACTAAATACTTATAATATCCAAAATACTGTTCTGGATGTGTGACTTATTTGTCATGTAATTTTTGTAGCAAGATAGGTACATTGCTCTTCTCTTTATAAATGAAAAAAATGTATATGAAAGTAGCTAATTTACTTCCTAACCTCTTGCAGCTTTAGGAGAAACTGCACAGTTTACACACAGGCAGCATGATACGGCCCTAGAGGCAGTGCCCTTGTCTATGTCTCCTGTGTGCAGCTGTGATGGGACCGCTCAAGAATGGGTGCTTCTCACATGATCAGATTATTCTTACTTTACTTGTGATTACTCAGCTGACTAATACTGTATTGTATAAGGATGTTTTCCATACAGTCGTCCTTCATTTAAAATTGATACAAAATTGTAAACAAAGAGGGGGAAGCCATTTAAAACAGCTCCCTTCTTCAGGTAGAGTTTTTGAAGTAAAAGTAAGTGCCAGAATAGTTGCTGTTCTCCATTAATGTGATTTTGATTGGTTTGTTTTATAGAGTTTTTGAAGTAAAAGTAAGTGCCAGAATAGTTGCTGTTCTCCGTTAATGTGATTTTGATTGGTTTGTTTTATATTTCAGTGAATTAACAGTCCCAACTGTAGTTGTACTGAATACTTCAAACCAACAATACTTTTTGCTAGATAGACAAATTAAGGATGCCGAAGACATGGTCCAGTTCATTACTAACATCTTGGATGGCACAGTAGAAGTAAGTTTTCAGAATGAGGAAGGGAGGAAGTAGAATGGGAGCTAGGGGTGGCTGACAGGGAATGGTTTGTATGTTCTGTTCCTCTCCTAGTGCAGGCAGTCCTGTTCTCCTGGACCCAGAAGGTTCTGTGGTAGCATTCATGGTGTTGCATGCATGGTATGGGATAAATGTTACAGAGCACTTGTCTTGTACTTAAACATTTCTGGGTCAGAAGGACAATTGGATTAAGTGATATTGAAGAAAACCTACAAGGAAGACCACTATTTCTTAAAATATATTGAAAACCAGAGCCCCAGAGAATTCCAAACATAATCCTATGGCATGTTTTTCAGAAATAAGTGAACAGATAATTTTAACTTTGTATTTATTTTCGCTAAGTCTCACCACAGGGTTTTTCAAACTGGATTGCAACCCATGTTGAAAATTCATGTAGGCTGGGCAGTGGTGGCTCACTTCTGTGATCCTAGCTACTCAGAAGGTTGAGATCTAAGGATCGCAGTTCAAAGCCAGGCAGGAAATTCTGTGAGATTCTTTTATGTCCAGTTAACTACCAGAATACTAGAAGTAGTGCTATCGTTCAAGTGGTGTAGAGCACTTGCCTTGAGCTGAAGAGCTCAGGCACTGCCTAGGCCCAGAGTTCAAGCCCCACCACTAACCAAAAAAGGAGAAAAATTCATTTAATCTCAGGTCACAATTGGTGCAACAGCACATTTGCTACATACATACTAACATAAAATAAGAAAATAACAGTCTTCAGGACTATTTTGAGACTTTGTTTCACTTTATAAAAACTTTATTTGAAAGATTCACTTGCATAGCTACCCTTGGGTTAAAATCGAGTTTGAAAAGCATTCTTAATCCATGGAAGGATTTTGGTAGTTCTTTGAATGGTATCTTGGTTGAAGTGAAACTCATTTAGATGTGTGAAAACTTTTCTATGTGCAACTTAGTGAAAGCTGACTTAAAATGTGGGAGGACAGAAATTTGTCAGTCCTACATTTAGCAATTCAAGCAATGAACCAGACTTGGGAGATGGCTCATTCAGGGATCTGAGTAATGTTATTAGAATTCCTTGTGGAGCTGCATCCCCAGAAGGACTTCTGCATGGTAGCAAAGGTCTCCTTCAGCAGGTCTGTTTTAGCAGGCCAGGCCAAATTCAAAACCTGTGGACCCCAGGTGGGCGTGCTTCAGCAGAGCTGAGTGGGTTGTGAGCAAGAGGAGACAGCGTGTTGATTCAAGGACAGGAAACATGCTGAACATTTAACACATGATTTGGGGGTTATTGATGTAAGACTTTTAAGTCAACTTTTTGATCTGCAATTGCGTAACAAAAAAAATAAAGTATTAATACATGTTTTCTTATTAAATTGAAGGCCCAAGGAGGTGATAGCATTTTTCAGAGAGTGAAAAGAATAATATTTGATGCCAAATCTACTATTGTGGTGAGTTCCAGCTTTGTGGTATCATGGGTAATTTAAGAAGTATGGATTCTTTATGTCTGGCAATGGTAAAACCTACAATGCATAGCATTAGGTCAATATATTTCTTTTTTCTTTTGCAAGATCTGAACTACTCCATATTAAACATTCAGCAGGTAGACATTGCTTTTTGAATGATTAATGAGTTACAGAACTTCAGAATTAACTAAGCTGATGATAGAACTTAGGCAGTTCAGTTTTCCCAACCATACCCTGTAAAGGTTTTACTTAATTTCTGTAATTTGATAAAAACAGAGATACAGGAGATTTTTAGCCTGTCTTCCAAGAGCTAGCCACTCTTTTTGAAGAAAATATTTTGTCTTGGGGTATTATTCCTCTTTTGTAATAAAAGAGAAGTTTTCAGTGTTAAAGCTTTAACACCTTTGTGAATTCTATGCCTTTCTCATTTGCTAAGTAGTGAGGTTTCTACAGGTGTTTTCAGTGCCTTTTCTCCTCTGCTCTGCTTCCTTTTTCCCTTGTTTTTCTGGTTTTTTATTTAAAAAGTAGACCTTAAGGTATGAGTGGGTCAAGTGCTTTTCATCAATATTTTCAACCATTGGTTCATCTAATATTTATACTCATAAATGTAAAAAATAGCCTTAATGAACTAATTTGCTCGAGTATACTGTCATCTTCCCTCTAGAAGTAAATATATTCCCTCCATTCTCTTCACTCTCTCTGCCTGGTTATCTGTACTGTTCTAACTCCTCTTCATCCTCCTGTGTGGCACTCCTACCCGTCCTCTGATTGCCTGCTGATCAGATCTGTGTATATCTTTCCTCTGCCCATCACAGCAGTTTTTCCTTGGCATTCTCCTTTCCCTTTCTGCTGTGGCAGGACCTCTTCAGGCCCTGAACTGATGCTGACTCTCCCAGAGTCAGCTCTTTGTCAGCTTCATAGCAGAGACATTCTTTTCATTTGAGCCCTAAAGTTAGTTCCATGAGCTACTACATGGACATTTTTACTTATGGGCCAAAGCACTCATGAAGATACAATTTGCATACAGGGTCCTAGTGAGGTAAGCCAAGCTCAAACAGTACTTGTTTTTGCTCTGTCATATGCTGGATATTCCTGGGAATACTCCAAGTTGAACTAGGAAATCTATTCAATAACATAATTTTTATTTTTTTGAGATGTGATTAGATAGCATATAAAATGGTGGTAATTAGGAAACGATTAAGGCTTTACTACCAGCTAGATACAAAGCAAGTATTACCAATACCATGAGAGAGGGGAAAAATTTATGCTCTCTTCTAAGGGCAGATCCCAGCCTTCTTGTGAGCAGATTTCCTGTAGTTCAGCAAATACCTAATGGTGCATAGTAACCATCTTAAAGAGTCCTTTGTAGATAATGTGAAAAGAATACTTTTGGAAAGTAATTAGGCTATTTGATCTCTTTTTCTGTTGCTCATACTGGTTATATAAGTGCACATGAACACACACACTTGTATACTTGGATCTAAAATTAGTATTTCCTATAGAATGTGAATCAGGTAATTATTGCTAGTTATTCACTGGAACTAAAGGTAGTTGGATAGCAGCATGAAATCTGTAGTGGTTTTATGTGCATGTACTTTGTGTTTTTTATATCACAATTATACCTTATGAGAACTCAGTTTTAAATATCTCTCCACAGTCCATATTCAGGAGCTCACCACTTATGGGCTGCTTTCTCTTCGGTCTGCCACTGGGTGTCATCAGCATCATGTGCTATGGAATCTACACAGCTGACACTGATGGAGGCTACATAGAAGAGAGATACGAAGTTTCTAAGAGTGAAATGGAAAGCCAGGCACAGATAGAAGAGAGCAAAGAGCAACAGGAGCCAAGTGGTAGAGAATCACTAGTACCGGCCATGCAAGAGCCTAAGGATGTCTTAGAAAAGAAGAAAGATTGAGACTTTGCAGCTATGGAAATTACAAGAGTCTATTTATTAAATTTAGATATTTAATCATGGTCCTTACAGGAAAGTATTTGTATTTTGCTAATACCAATTGCATGGGTTAAAGTAGTCCTTCTACAAATGGGGAGACATTTGTAGCAAAGAGAAGAATGGCTTATCTAAAAATCCAGATCATACCATCAGAATTTACCTTGTGGATATTATTATACACATCAGTTCTATTTGCATGTTGCTCTATCTGAATATTCTGCAACAAAGTTAAAATTGGGCAGAATATTTAAGTTGGTCAATCAGATAGAAAATACATGTTGGATAAAGAAAATAATACCTCCCCCCTTCTGCTATCCATTCTCATATATTTTGTATAAGATTTATATAGGCAAATTTAAATCTTTAAAGTTTAGACACTAAGGAAAGCCAGTAACTTTTTCCATGTATCAAATTAATAAAATTCTGAGGTTAATGTGGTTTTATATAGCATAGTGATTTTATTTAATTACTTTTAAAGGAGAGGAAATGTTACTTTTTAATTTTATACTCCGTTATGTTGTTATAAAAATTTTTATATGGGTCTGTAGAATAGAGAAGGAAATTTTTGTGACTGACCTGTGCAGAAAGCCAGGGTGTACTGGGGGCAGCGGCCGCAGGCCCCGCCCTGCAGCACTCCAGCCCAGACACTCACTGGTCAGAAGGAGAGCATGTCTCTTATTTCTACTTTGCTCTAGCCTAAGTGGCTAAGGGTTTTAATTTTGTTTCATTTTGTGTGTGTGTGTGTTTTGGTGTTTCTTCTAAAATTACCTATGATTTAAAAAAAAATATTGAAAAGTAATATATAAATTTTGTTTAATGTATTTAAATTTTTATAGTGGCTATGGTCCAAAACCTGCATGTGTGTTGTTCTGCATACGTGTATACAAGTTACTGTCACACACGCACTGTGGTATTCTGTGGCACGTCTGTCACAGAAAGTGACGTCCTGGGCAGGCTAGGTGGGATGTTCTCTCCAGTGAGCCCGAGGCGGGCTGGTCTCCTTCGTGTTCTCCGCTCTGGCTGCCCAGGGAGTTGTGCCCATCTTTCCTCCTAAGTGGAATCATGCAGGAATTCTGGCCCAACTGATGTCGAAATATTGGTATTCTGTAGTAATAGTTTGGAAAGTTTATCATACATTCAATTTTAACGCCTTCAGTTCATCTATTTTCAGAATTTTTAATTGGGTTAACTTATTTAGATAGTTATCAGTTCCTTAGAACTTGTTCATTATAAAGGTTTTTATTAACATTAAAAGTGTTTAATCATTTTTAAAGTATGGTCCTAACACTGAAGTTTTTATGTATAGCATTTTGATCATGTGGGCTGCTTTTTGGCTGTTTCCAATGCCATGTTAATCAGGAGTGAACTGAGACTCTGGTGTCTTAAGTGCTAGCCAGTTAGAGGTCATCGTTGTGTGTATGTGTGTCCATTGTGCTCTTCTAGTGTTCATTTATTAAATACCATTCTTGATTTTAATTGCTAAATGAAATAAATATGCAGTCACAAAAAATTTCAGGTAATACTAGTGGGAAATAGTCTCATGGAAACTGGAGGTGAACACTGTTAATCTAACATGCAGTTTTCTCTCAAAGGCATAAGGCGGCATTTTGTGAGAATGTACGTGTGAGGTTTGTTTGCAGGGGTCATTGCAGGCCTAAGCGGGTACAGATGCCTCCCTCCGCACTCAGGTGATAAGGAAGTCGCACGGTGACACAGTCACGGCGGATGTAATGGGTTATTCTAAGTGTACTGCACATGTAGATCTGCAGCTTTTGCCTCATCACTTTGCATCATCACCTCAGTAGGAAAAATAGTGACTCGGTAAACCCACAAGCATCCTCTGTATTTGCACCTTTATAAAGGAGCCTTTCACACAGCTTTTTACTCTTCTCTTCTTCTGTCTGTACTTAGAAAATGTGCTTATTGGGAAACAAAGAGGGTAGGTGGTTTGTAATTTTATTTTTGTATTAAAATGTTGCTTTTCACGTGTTTCTCTTTGGGGATCATTTCATTTACCTTCTCAGCGCCTCACAAAACAGACCTTAGCATCTGTTCACTAGTGTGCTTTTCCACCACCTTGATTTTAGAACTTTACTCTGAGCACTGTTTTCCTTTCAGGATAAATTATGTCAAGATCAAAGCAGCTCTCAAGATCTGGTTAGAAGGTTACTGGTAGCCTCCTAACTTTGTGATAAATCAGTCATACGATTGTATGCCAATCCTAGGATCCTTCAGGAAATTGGAAGTTCATCTTCTCTTTCAGTCACAGGAGTTCTCTTCCTGATTTCTGTAGTTTAGAATTGTAGCTCCTTCTAGTCTGATGGTCAGCCAGCATGTAAGGATAGATAGCCCAGAGAAGGTGGGAGCTTTCAAGTACTTTGTGCCCCCATTGGCGCCTGCTGTCTTGTCTTGTATGCACCAGTGCTTTTTCTACTGCCCCAAACCCATGCAATGACCATTAGACCTGGAGTTTTCATTTCTTCCCCCGACACAGTGCTTCTCATTATCTAGTTTAGAAATAGCCTTAACATGCCACAAGTTTGGAGGCTGGGGAAGGGTCTGAACAGTAAAAACAATTTGCTCTTTGATTTTTGTTCAGTGGGTTACATTGCTAATGATGTTCTTTGTGTTTTCATTTGGGTGCTTTTCTGACTTCAGTTATGCAGAAAGTTGCTTAAATATCTTTATTATAGCCCTCGCTTCTTGGGACATGGAAATAGGGCAGGGAAAACGATTGCTCAATATATTATTATTGTGTAGAAATTGCTCAAACCAGTGTGTGATGTTGAGTTACAATGAATTGGAGAGCTTAGAGCTGCCATTTTATTTTTTACATATATATATATATTATTTTTCTGAATGTGAGTGTCAGAGTGAGCAAAAAATAATTTTCTACTTTAGACTAATAATGTATAAAAGGTTTTGGAAGTCTGTAATACAACTAACTTGTTGAATTCATGATACCCTGACTCATGGCAGTTGTAAACCTTTTTTGTAAAATAAATTAACTAAAAACATAATTGTTACTTTCACTGTGTATATTTCCTTTTGCTCCTTTGAAGGGCTTGCATGTTGAGGTACTCATGAATTTAAATAACTTTATATCCTGAAATTGAGGCTGCAACCCGAATGTTCTAGTAAGCCTGACACTGGTAGCTCACGCCTGTAATCCTAGGTACCCAGGAGGCTGAGATCTGAGGATTATGGTTCGAAGTCCCCCCAGGCAGGAAAGTCCGTGAGACCCTTACCTCCAATTAACAACCAGGAAACCAGAAGTGGCACTGTGGCCTAAATGTTGGAAGTGCTAGCCTTGAAAAGAATAACTCAGGGACAGAGCCTAGGCCCCAAGTTCAAGCCCCATGACCTACAACAACAAAATAGTCATAAAATTGGTGAAATTCTATTGTTTCAAAATGTTTTGGCATTCAAAATGTTCCCATCCACCAGTGGACAGCTGAGAAACATGCACGACTTAACATCTGTTTAAGAGGTGGTAACCACTACATTTTGTTCCCTTACCTCCACAGGAGGAGAGATTTTGAATTAGTTGTATTCATTTGCTTCTACCTCCATGGTGAATAAAACATGCTCATTGACCTGCATACCACCATGCACTGATTACTTCAAGACAGTGGCCCTGATGTGTGAAGCAACTTATTTTGTACAAAATCTAGGAAAGTATCTTTATGATGTTTAGTTAAGAACAACTTGAAAATACAGATGGTATAGACTACTCAGAGAAGTAGCTATTGGATCTCATTAAATTCTGCTTTAAAAAGACCATTAAGAAAGTTAAATTGGAAGAGAGACTAGGAGAATATATTCACAAAATTCACTCTGTTACAGAGCTGCTGTGTACAATAGATACTAGATACCTTCAAACCACTGTAGGTAAGGACAATACAATAAAAACAAATGACACAAATAGGAGTCTTAAATATAGCAAGGTCTCAAGTTTACCATCATTCAGTCTCAGCTTTAAAGTCATGCATTAGTTCAAAGGACATGGCCTCTTATTTCTGATTTCTCAACAACTGCCTCTTCCTCAGTTTTCTCATTTCACTAAGTGATGCTGACATTTTACTCATGCCCATAACTCTATATATGCTTGAAACAGACCATAATTTGTGAACCAAGTTTCTCATAGCTTTGATATAGACTCGAAATCCAATTTTGCACCACATTGAAGATTTACCTGCTGGTTCAGTGTGGAAGATTTATGTTTCGTTAGCTTGGGCTCTGAATCTTAAAATTATTGAAAATATGAAAAAGTTGATGTCAAACAGAAAATTCACATAAATCCCCATTGCTCATATTAAAAATGAAGTACCTTTTTATCTTAACAGCTGCCAGTCTAGAATTGTTAGCCTTTATCCAGATAATTAGTAAATCCTAAGCCAGGGTTTATAAAAACAAATGTTTATCGGCACTGCATGAGCATCAGCTTTGATAAGTTATCAGTATACATGTGTATATCCTGGTTGTTAATTGGAGGTAAGGGTCTCACGGACTTTCCTGCCTGGGGGGGGGGGGGGACTTCGAACCACAATCCTCAGAAACCTTAGAACCATCTATTTGGTCAGTCCTAGCTGACCTGCTTGAAGCCTGAACACAAAAGCAACAACAACAACAAAAAGAAATCTTTCCTACATTGATTTTTGATGTGTGCCCGCAGATTAAATAATCATGATAGTGTGTGTATGTGTGCGCACACGTGCGGGTGTAAGTCCGTTCCCCCGAGAGGCTGTGTTTTTGTGATTTCCGGGCATTCCAAGGTCAAATGCAGCACAAGCAGGAGAGATCCATTTCAACAGCTGCACCAGACACCTGGGCCCAGCCCTGTGAGTAAGCTGCCAGCAACACATCACCCTGTCAGGAGACTGATTTTCATCCCTGTAAACAAGAAGTAGATGATGTCCAGCTGGGATTATTTACCTCCCTTTACTCTCCCATCCTGCTTGTAGAAGAGAGCACAGGCTCACTGCCTGGGGTCAGAAGGGCTGCTGGGGACATGGGGGAGGGGTGGATGGATGGGGCGGGGGGGGGGAGTGCATGGAATCCCTCCCGAGGGGTCACACTCTTTCCCTTCATCTGTACAAATCATTGGTATACAAAATGATACTGAATTATATCTTCACAGTCTCTTTTCTTCTACAATAGCTAATGCAAAGCCACTTTTTAAAATAATTAGTGCTGGACCTGAGTATAAACTGGACTTTTGTGAATAAAAGTATTTCTTCCTGAGGAAATTGTAATGAGTAACTTTATAGAATAAAAAGGAAATAAAGCAAGAGATGAATAAATTCTAAAAAGTGCTATGGCTTTGACCCTGGTAGTTCTGCTTTTGCTACAATCATCTTTCAACATTTTTGGAATCTGGACCAAGGACAGTTTCAGGCATCGCCATACACAGATAAAATCAAACCTGTGATATAAAATGGTATGGTACGTGCATACAATGTAGCTACATCCTTCCTATACTCTGAAATATCTCTGGATTTTTTTTTGTAAATGCTACATATACTATTGTAAAACTATTCACACTACTGTGTTTATCTTTATACAACTATATACTACTGTAAAATTGTTTGGGGGAATAATAGAAAAAATTCTGTACATGTAGTATAGGCAAAGTTTATTTTTCCAATTTTTAATTTTAATGGGCTGAGCATTGAATGTAGGGCTTTATGCCTGCTATACAAGTGTTCTAGTACTGATCTGCAACTCAAGTTCCTCACATTTTATTTTCTGAGTGATCTGTGTTTGATTGAATGCACAG